CCGCAAAAGGAAAGATGGCCGCCTGTCGATGTAAACCTGGTCCATGTGTAGCTCCAAAAGTGTGCCCAAAGCTCCATATTTCTGTCCTATGATGTTCAGCTCTTCAATGCCTATTGGAATTGTCTTCATTCAGCGATCAAAGTAAGGATACTTTTGTAGTAATTACGCGATATTACAGTGAACTTCGTATATGGAATTCTTCCCCCAATCAAAGACTGACCTCAAAGAGTCAAGTCTGAAGTTTGGATATCCTTCCTAAAAAGAAAACATCTGATGTGGTCAATGATACCACTTTTCACCCGTTCTGTTTTAGTTTGTTTATTTACATCATATCATCAATTTTGTTCCGAGGTTGTCCATTGTGGTTCATTGTCACACATGATGAAACCCCACTGCCCCATATGTACAAGTAGACAAATTCCTTAAAGATCTGGAGGCTGGAGATCTGGTGATTGAAGAGCAAGAGTGAATATTTAAGCATTGCAAATATCTTGAAGACACTTTGTTTTATTATACGTGATGTCATATTCTCCTTTCAAAGTTTCATCAAACAAATTATAAACACTGGTAGAGCATTGGTATGGTATGCCAGAGGCCGCAGGTTCAAATCCCACTCCAGTCAATTTCTTTGTTCATCTTTATAATCAAATTGCGAACAATTTAGTATAGCAGAGAGTGTACATGTATATGCAAATATGTGTTTCCAGGGATCTGTCAAGAGGTGATAATCACAGGGTATTGTAACCTTTAGGTCATACATATAAATACGATTCTTTAAAACATAAAAATCTGCTCCGAAAGTTTTATTTGCTATAATTGGTAAGTTATGGAAAATATGAAACTAAACCAGTTTTTATCTAACTCCTCCGAACTGTTTTTCGTCCTGTGCCTCAGGATTTACATATTTTGGGCAACATGCTGAGGTTCATGATATATGTATCCATTCCTAACGCTTGGCGTCGCTTACGATATGGGAATGCAACTGAAGATCGCCTCCTTGAATTCGTGAAGAGCACAGCAGTAGAGGGCGATGCAGCTAGTGTGCTGTCTGCCGTGGATAGATTCAAGGATGAGAAAGAGTGGATGGTCAGTATTGAACGGAGGAAAAGTAAGTTACAGCCATCAGTGTGTGCATTCAGTGGACAAATGTAACCTTGAAGAGCAGGGCTTTTTGGATCATATCGCTCAGCTGATCTTGGAAAACTTGAGGCAAACATGTACAATGTATCTACAGAGATGTTCATTATGAGTTCATAGATGAAATTTCATTTCAAAGTACGTGTCCATGTAATTTATGGTAAATTCATGTAGACATTGGAAGATCATGGCCTCTTTGGTGTCAGCCGTGTGCATTTGAGCACACTTCAGAAGAGTTGACTTTTTTGGATGACCTGTCTCTTGAAAAATTGGCTTTTTCACAAGAACACTTTTTCTTTAAACAGTTGGTGTGTCAGAATGATCTCGAGGCATCACAGAAAAAAACTCAATGCTCGATATCAGAGAAGATGCCAAGGAGTATTTGCCTCCCTCTTCCAGGATCTCTTTGGTCAATGCACAGGGCTTTCTCACTGACCCACTTGACCTAACATGGCGGTACATGTGTACGCCATAGTTATAAGTAAAGACCAACATGCCGCCATAGAGCTATATATAAAAACTACAGGGCAAGCTTCTCATTCTCCACGCGGATAAATTGGACATCGTCCTGGGCGCGGACATTTTCAATCCATGTGCGTGCTGGTAAAACATTTGAAATAAGATAGAATGAATATCAAATTACCAGCTCTAAATGCAACATGCATGGAGTACAACTTAAATTTGATTTAAAAAGTCATGGCAAAATTATCTGTGAATTAATAAAAATGTTTGTGTTTTAGTGGAGAAAATCGGCACAGTACTTGAGGAAACGAAGCCCAAGAATTGCTTGGAGCTTGGCACCTACTTGGGTTACTCTGCAGTTTCCACAGCAGTTCATCTGCCTGAAGGAGCTCGCTTGATCACAGTGGAGATAAACGAAAAATATGCCAGCATCGCCAAGCAGTTGGTAGACATGGCTGGTCTAAATCAGGTACACTTTAAGAAGTGCAGCTGCAATGAATTTTTCTTCGACACAATTTTCTTCAACTTTGTATTTTTCTCCAATGTTTGAAAACTATTACATTCCTATTTCTAAAACAATTTCGTGCTTTCCTGGACAACTGAGGGTGCAGCTGCTGTGACGCGCAGAACTCTATGCTGTGAAGTCATTTAGGGACAACTTAAGCCATGTTTTCATCAGACTTTGTCTTCCACAGCCATGCAGAAACTTACTGCGACATTCCTTCGTGTCAATCTACCGCATATACCGAAGTAGACTTTTTTACCGTAACGGAATATTTATTTGCTGCGTAATACTAGCTGAATACCTACACACTGTACATGTTGTGGGCTCTGTACAAATCGTGACAAAATCCACCAAATATGACCCAAAAAATGACAAAATCTGACAAATTCGGCCAAATCTGCCACCTTTTAAGTGGAGATGAACAAGATGCACTTGTACACAGTGTGTATATAGCTTTATCTGAGCACGCTTCACTGTGTGTGCGCGGCATATTGCTGTTCTGTGTGCACGGAGCTGGAGACTGGGAACCATACAACCATTTTCGCATGCCTGCTGTCAATCTCTGTGTAGCCGTAGCCTTGTAGTCTGTTGGTTTAGCGTGGTCGCAGTCTATCTATATTGTACGGGAACTGTTCCCATTAGCCTTATTAGCGCCCCTGCAAACTTACTGTGACTGCATGGAAATCTTCCATGACCTTTTCAGCTAGTTAGTTTTACATCACAGTCACAGTAAGTTTGAAGGAACGTAAGCTAACCATGTGTTTCCATTGGATTTAATTAACATCACAGTAAGTTAGAAGGAACGTAAGCTAACGATGTGTTTCCATTGGATTTAATTTTGTAATTCTGCAGGAAGGTCGCGGTAAGTTAACCAAAAGAATCCAATGGGAACACGGCTGTACATGCATTTCGGTGCATAAATCTTTTTTGTTCAAATTGTGAACCCAGAATTTACTTGATGACAAATTTCTCCGAGAGGAATTGATTGGTTGCTTATTACAGTACAATGCACATAAAGAGCAAAGAATTGGTAAACAAGAGAAAACTGAGTCCAACACAATCTACAAAAATGTGGGACATCTTTCTTTGCAAATCAATGTAACATTGAGGATTTTTCCTGGGATGGCATCATGTTTTGCTCATGAATATGGAAATCTCATTTGCATAAAAACCAAAAAGGCAGTAAAACACCCTTTGAAAGAGTGAACCAAAAGTTGAAAATGAGGTTAACTGAGACACAAAGGTGCATTTTGAAGGTTTGTACAGTTTATTAAAACAAATTGATTGCAGCTACCCTTTAATCTTTTGAAAGGAAAGGTGCAGCGCATGTACGTACGGGTACATGTATATATTAGTAGCCTTTGCATTTGGATGAGAGTATGCACGTAGACGTGACATGGTTTGAAGGTGGATATGCAGCTCCCCAAGCTTTTGAAATTTGAGGCAAATTTAGAGGAAGTACAAGTACATGCAGCTTTTCAACTTCCAGTATCTGAGGAAGATAACACACGGTTTCAGTCGAATGCTGTCTAGCATTAGTTTATGAGAGATGTCATCTCTTCGTGGGTACCTGTAGCTACATGTCGGGCCATGATTATTCTTGTGTAGCTCTCCCGAGCGACAACTTCAAACCAGCTTCAGAGTAAACTGTTGCGTTCCTGGAGAAAATATTACGATACATGTGGATGGGATGTCTCTGTGGATCATCACCTGCCTGTAAAACAGCAAAAGTAATGACTCTGATATGATTGTGAAAATTAAGTTGGGATGTCAGGCAGTATTGTTGAGTCTGTCATTTTTGGAGTCCAAGTCATTGTCCAGGTCCAAGTTAAAGTCAGAATTTGAGTCTTAAAATCTAGTCCCAGTCTTTCAATAAACCAAATGTCATATCGTACGTTTGAAAACATGCTACCCGTATGTGCTTGGTATTTGCAAGTGCATGTAATTGTAAGTATGAACAGAAAGAGGACCGTTACATACCAGCATGTGTGTTTCCAATTGTTTGTAAAAATTCTTGAATGCTTTTCAAAACTACATGTAAATTACAAAGAGAAGAAAAGTTAATAGAAAAAATAAATACTGTCTAGTGGCTTAAGAATGTTGATAGGAAAGCATTCTTAAGTCTGGTAACGATGTGGAGGATGTTCTTTAAGTTTCCATTTATTGAATTATTTTATGTTGAAGGGGTGCTGGGGATTAAAAAACAAACAGTCATTTTGGGGTGAACATGGGTCAAGTCGAGTCTTGCAGTAAATAAAAAAAACCAGAGTCTGCGTCCATCAACATGCAGACTTGCGTCAGTCCAAGAATGCTGAAGATAACAAAACAGTATTAGATGGGCTTTTGCTCGACTCGGGCTTCATGTGCATGTACTTAACCCCTAATGCCTTACCTACATGTAGAAGGATGGATGGGGGGGGGGGCAGCGGCCAGGTCCATCTCCAGACCGGCACCGTACCGGCAGCACTACCACACCTTACAAATTCTATTAAAAACTGCTGCTGGCTAATAAAATCCATTCTTAAATTTGCCCAGCAGGCAGGTAAAGCTGTTTGAAACAGTAGTAGATGGCTACATGTACATGTAAAACAAACGGTACGAAATTGATTATACATGTACGTACATGTACATGTTGTTATTAATGGTAATAGATTTGAAATCACAGCAAGACTCCACTACAAACATTGAAGTAATGTTGAAAAAAGTTGGTTAGTTTTGCTAAAACATGCCCAGTAGTCAAGTGGAAACCCAGCTCCTTCAGGGTTGAAATTGCAGTCTCTGTTTTCAGGTTTCGGTCGTTACTGGGAAATCATCAGATGTCATCCCAGAGCTATGCAGCAGATACTCAATGGACAAGCTGGACTACCTATTCATTGATCACTTTGGCAGCCAGTACTTGCCTGATCTGGAACGACTGGAGGAACTCCATCTCCTTCGCAAGGGGACCGTCATCGTGGCCGACAACGTCCTGTTTCCCGGCTGTCCCGATTACATCAAGTATGTGGAGGGAAGCAACAAGTTTACCACAGAGCGCTTCTATTGTAAAGTGGATGGCCTTGGCGTACAAGATGCCATTGCAATCTCTGTCTACAATGGTGGTGACCATGGTGATGACTAGGTTTAATGTTGTCTCCACCGTGGCACAAGTAGACGTTTCAACTTTGCTGTCCTGGCGCTTGTTCCAGAGTGATTGGAATTAAAAAATTTACAGCAAAACTTAGATCAACTCTGACAACAACTCATTGTGACGAGCTGGAAATACATGTACCTTTGTGCAGACACTCTATGTAAAAATCACGTTTGGAGAAATCATAATTGTTAACAATGCTGACATGCTTCCAGTAGCAAAACTGAATTTATGTTAAATTTTCATCAATGGTGGCGGGGCACACATCTTGATCATTGCATTTTTTTTTGTTTCAGATAAATATACCGCTGCCTGCCTAATGATTGCCCTCTTTTTAAGCACTGATATTGAAATGTACTTTTTTTCTAGTTTTATATTCAAGATATACATGCGCATGTATGCAATAAATTAAAGAAAATACTAGTGCATGTGTAAAAGCTGCCTGAAATAAATTACCAGTTCATGTCAGTAATTTTAGTTTTTATTCAGAACATGTCAATCAAATCCACTCTGAAATGAAATATGAATTTGCCTAGTTGGTTCTTGCATGACACTTTAACTCTGTTTTAAAGAAAATGTTTGATTTTTAGGGAATATAAAATGCATGTATGCTATCTGCTATTGATAATTACATAATTTTGAAAAGTGGTTAAGCAGTGAACTCCGGGTGCTTGTAGATCTGGCTTGTACACCTTAATGTACATTTAAGATCCTTGAGGTTGCCAAAGATGGAGCCAGTTGGAGACACTGCATTATCAGCTGCCGTGCAGCCGACTACTACATGTACTTGTAGCAGTAGATTTGTGTTCAATATTGCATTTTGAATGCACCCATTAGGCAAGTGGGTGCAAAACTGACAGTCTCTGTTCATTTCATGCAGGTCAGGATTGGGATCAGTGGTCCAACGTTGGTACCCGACACCTGAACCCGACTAATGGATAGTGCAAGCCAGCTTTGAGATCAATGATCACGATCCAGATCCGTGTGAAACGAACAGACACTGAAATTCATATTATTTTGTAAGCATGCATATGTACAAATTCTTGCCTTGCCAGTGGATATTTCATGCTAGCTCAAAGCGCAGTCATTGGCATTGGTTTTTAAGGACTCCCTTGGCATCAGGTGCACAGTGTACCAAATTAGTACACTTTAAATCCTACACCAGTTGTTATTTTTTTTTCTTTCTTTTTCACGAGAAAATGATGCTGTGTTTTAAAGACTGCCAGCTGAGAAAGATTCCTTGTACTCCTGGAAACTTCTGCCTTTTTTCCCCTTATACAGCAGAACCCTGTTTAAAACAAGGTCCAATAGAGTACCGAAGTGTGACGTCACCGTGAACCAGAAAGTGCAGTGCAAACGAATGGAGTACGCGCGTGTTGGCTCACGCACTGGTTCTTGCGCTAATGCCTTTCACACGCTAATTGTGCGCGTGATGTAGTTACTTCGGTACTCTGTTGGGACTTCACAAGTTATAATGCACCTTGTTAAACAGGTACATGTACCTTTACCAGTAATAGAAAACAAAAGAAAACCAAAGACTTACATTCAAGATGTACAAATATCCTTGTTATAAGTAAACATGACTTTTTATTGCAAGTGCTCTTATCTGTGTTCAACTATATAGCATAGCATATACCACACCCTTTGGCCAATTTGAAGTGTGGCAGGCAGAATACATAGGTGGATACCATTTCAACAACCTCTTGTATTCACTCAAATTGACCCACCTCAAATAGCCTCTCCTATACTTCACACTGGCTGATGGCCCATGTAAAACATGAGCATACCCATTCTGATATGCATGTACTTCTGAACTCTTTTACTGGTCAAATGCAAGTGAACAGACCTGTTTCCAAAATGCTCTAGCCTGCTGTACAGTCTACACCAATTCCTACACCACCACGTTCTACGTAATAGTTAATGATAAGCAAACAAATCATTCCAAGCATCCAACTTACTCGCTTGGTTTAAAATGAAAAAAATAATGTATATTCACACACTGTACTACGCATATGCTAGTCTGAGAAACAAAAACGCCATAAATCACATTTCTCAGTATTTGGACATGATTGAACATTCTGCATGTACATGAAAATACTTGGTAATTAAGAGATCATATGTGGTTGCCCACAAACCTGCTGGCAAGTGAGGTTACCAGACTACCAGCACCGTCATGACCGTTGACACTGCAGTCAAGCAAATCAGTTATGGGACCGGTCCCCATCCCTATTATACAGGGACTGGTTGCTAGCTTCGGTTTAACATGTGCAATTAGCCCTGTCAATTTGGATGCCGATATTGAAATTATTGTTAGGCCAACAGCAATGCTTTAACATGAAATATATTTTAGTTCTGAGGTGAATAAAACACAAGTATCTATCCTTGCTAAGGCTGCTGATCACAGTGTGGTAATTTATTTTTCAATGATTATCATTGATAAATCATTTTAAGGCAATTTTTTTCAAATCAGTGGTATGGTAAAGTTATTTTCGGTAACAAAGAACAAAAGCAAAATATACTTTCAGCTCCTGCTTGATTTGTGCATTGAGCAGGCATCATTTCTTCATTTACATAATGTAAACCCAACAGGACTCTGCCAGATTCATTATCCACTACAGGGTCCCTGCATTCAGAGGCCATCTGTAAGACGGGAACCAGTCTGATCAGTTACCAGACAGATAACATTCAGGTGTCGCGATGACAGAAACTTGCCTGCCGAGATTTCCAACCTGCGGTTCATACCTTATTGTTTAAAGCTTAAAGTATGAAAGCATTTAAGTCAGTATTAAAAGTGCCTTAATGTTAGTCTGGGTTTCGTACTTGCCCTTGTGTCAGGAAACTGAAAATCAAGATGCCCCGAACACTTATGTCGACATCAGTTTCCCTTGACAGCAAGTGCGTATACACAGCTGCCGAGAATACTACAGTATCTACCTTGCCAGATTGATTACTGCCGCATTAGTTACTGAAATCATGAATGGATCCATATCACTCATTAAGCTTGTTACATCGCTAATTATCTGGTTTCTGCTCCTGACCCTTTTAAAGACTTTCACTCTTAAGTTCTGCCACCGCAAAGGAGGAGCCCACGTAAGCGCTCTTCACTTCAACACATAAGGAGCATGAAACCCCATAAGAAAGTAACAGTAGCGAACAAAATCTTGCAAGATCCTTCACAATCCGCAGGTTTTGGAAAGGTCAGGTTTAATGCTCAGCAGTTTTTAAAAGTGAACAGTAAGCTTAAGCAATTCTACCAATTATTCTATGTGTTCCAGCTATTTGCAGTACGATAAAAAAAATAACTTATATGTACCGCTGCAAGTATAATTAAAATTGACATCATAAAGCTTCAAAATTTCTACGTCGTGCAAGGAACACACCATAATCAGCAAGTTAAAATAGGAAATTCTTAGATCCATTCACTTTTTTCATTAAGAAATTTTGCTTACTAATAAATAAACTTTTCTACGTATAATACATTTTTCTACTTTCTCTGTCAAGTTCTGTTAGACCAAATTGCCCCAGGAAGAAGATTTCATACATAAATATATTTCATATGTCCCTTTCTTTCACAACTATATGTAAAATATGAGTTGTTCTTCTGTATTCAAGAGTTTTTTTTTTTTTCTTCAAAAGTACAGGTCCAGGCCATGAATGTCGCCGGGGAGGGGAGCCAGAAAGGAACTTGTTCCCTTCCCCCCCCCGGTTAAAAATTGAAATATTAACAAGGAGGAAAAAGACACAAAACTTAACAAAAATTAGGGAAAACGATGAAAGGGGATAAAAATCACCTATCTGCAGCATTAACTGGCCTCCTTCCCACTGTTACGACTTATCATTTCCAAAATAAGTGCTTCGATCACCCCCCCTAAAAAAAAATAAATCCTGGTGCCGCTCATGGTCCTGATATAAACTGCAAGAGAATACAATGCCTTTGCTTTAGTTACTATACTGTTTCTGAGAACAAGGGCCCTCTTGGGGTTGTAAAAAAAAAAAAAAGCTCTCCTTTAAAGAAGTCTACAAAAAGCATGATGAAGACAATGGACAAATTTGCTTGGGTCCCATGCAAGATAGGGTTCGAACACATTTTTAGAGGTTTGGGAGGATGTGGTAAGAGAAAACACCCTGATTGACACCAGAAGTAAATTGTGGCTTTCTTAAGGTTTTCTTAAATTTATAAACAGGAATTTCCACATGAGTTCACCTTCAGTGTGTGACCCCCAATGGCAGCTGCTGGGCCTCCCTTGGGCGTGGTGAATGTAGAGGAAATCCAAGGTGGACTATGTCAAATGTATGATTTGGAATACTTGAGCAAAGGACTGGCATGTCTGATGCCAACAGATTTTCTAAAAGTTGCAGCAAATCACTTCATGGGTTCATCTTGGCACTGCTCCCTGGAGAGGACCTCGAACTCGTCCGAATCGTTCCCCTCCTCGTTCTTTTCCCCCTCTGCTCCACCTGTAGCACCCAGGGGCTCGATGATGTCAATACTCCCGCTCAAGGATGTCCCTAGACTCCGGAGGTGCGAATCGCCATCCACACTGCCCCCAGAGGCAGGGGTGGAGTCTCCCTCGATGACCGACACACTTGATGGGCTGTCCAGACCAGGGACTGAGGCCGAGAATGGCTCTGAGTCCGTGGACGAGGCAGGAGTGACTGAAGCCGACATGTTCTCAGCTGGCACTTCTCCCGGCTTGGGCTTCTCCATCCTGTTTTTTGCCTTCGGCCCTGCTCCTCCTGCAGTGCCTTTCTTTCCCAATCTTCCACCGTCTGGGTGGCTGTCGCCCTTCGATGCCATCTTGTCCACCCTGACTTTCTGCCTCGGTTTTGTTCCTGACAGACCTTGCACTTTCGGTTTCGGCTTAACAGTTGAGCGCTCTTCCATAGAATCCAGCTCCGAGTTGGGGCATTCTACAGGCTGTCCCTGAATTTCTGTCCTCCTGGTCCCGTATTTCTCATCAGGGGCTCTGGGACGCTGCCCCTGGCGACCATCTGCCTCATCTGAGGAGTCATCATCCCCAGACACATCACCTTGATAGGGTGCACTGTCTGCGCTGCGCGAGCCCAAGTTAAGAGGCTGTCGCTGTGGATGGTCCTGGACAGCATCCGATTCACTGCTGACATGTGGCCTCCGCCTCGGCCTGGCAGGCGGTCTTTCTACAGCCAGAGGCTCCTCCGGATGCATTTGGTGCTGTGGCTGACCGGCCAGGATGTCTTCCGCTGGTCTGTTGTTGATGATGAGGTTCAAAGCTGGCATTGGGGGTGGCGGTGCGACTTGGTCTTCCCTCCGAGGCTGCAGCAAATCCAGATAATTAACGGGTGACATGCATAATGTTCATTCTTGCACAGCATCACATCGGCAAATATTTTAACCTGAAGTAGTTATCTCATGAATTACTGCTTTAGTGCCAGTATAAAACATACACTACTCAAAAGAATTAAAGGAACAAGAGAACAGTATGTTTTTGTTGTGGTCTATATGGGCTACCGTTAGAACAAGAGGCATTAAAGTTGTGTGAAAATCATTCAGGTGTTGTCACATAACTTTACTGCCTTTTGTTCTAACGGTAGCCCATATAAACCATGACAAAACATACTGTTCTCTTGTCCCTTTCATTCTTTTGAGTAGTGTATAACAATGTCATTATTTAAACTGTTACAAGTTGATGAAAAAGGCCTTAAAAATTGTTCCTTTCAGTTTTCCTGGTATTCTTTCTGTTGATCTTTGACTTGTTTCCAGACCACAGTACCAGGCATCTCTTTGAAGCTCTGTATAAACTGTGTGATTAATTCAACTAGTTACATTTACCCACTTCTTGTAAAGGTACAAGCATAACATGCACATACATGTACATTCAATGCCCCTTTGGCTTCTAGGGTGACTTGCAACAAAATCTATGCACGCCTCATGTTTAAGAATGTGTACAGCATACTGTAAGTGCACTGCCATTAAGGTATTGGGGTCTCCTCAGAATACTTAGGAGCAAGTTGTTACCAGTGGGAGGTATCAGATATTTTCAAAATTGGGTTAACCAAATTTTGAAAAAGTGATTATCCAGTTATCCGGTTTTAGTTGACCTTTTCAAAGCATTAACAACTCACATGGCATGACGATTATGAAGTTTTTCCATTTAGCGGCAGCCAGAGCGGGTTCTACAATTGTAGACTTGGTAGGTAAATATTATTTGCACTCTACAAAAACTAAATCAGTGTCTTTTTAGTTTACATAGATCAGATGTGTCAAAATGTACATGTAATTGTCACTAAAATAACGTTTTTCTTATCATTGAAATCATCATTCATAGTTTGGCGAACATTATATTTTATAAAATTTACAACAATCCTCGTACACTTAACTCAATGTAACATTGACAGAAATCTCAGGTAAATGTGACTTTTTGGACAAACATTCATGACCAGATTCATGTGAAATAATGGGGCCCAGTACATGTGGAAAAATAATTGGTTCTTTTGTACTATATAGCACCATCCATGAAATGAATGCCTTAGGCCCAGCCATTTTTGCAATTCCAATCTCATGAATTTTAACCACTACCTGCTGGGTGGATTTCTCTTGAGCGGGATGTGATGGCGGGACCTTTTCAAGATTTTCCGTTTCCAAAATTCATCAAAAATTCATGTGTTCATTTACAGGTTGTTTACACCCACATGAACGACTGTCTGGTGGCTACTCTACAACCTTCACTGACACCCGAGTATTCAGCCCAGGCCTAGCAGCAGCCCTGTAAAAGAGAGCCCAGAATTGTGAGGTGTTGCATAATTTCCTTTGTTACGGGTGAATGCCAGTAGCGGTGCTGTGCTGCTCATCAATGGGGCCTTGGAGCACTTTTGTCCGGGGTGCTAATTCGCGGGTGCGCTATGCCCAAAACAGTGGTATACTGTTTCAAAACAGTGCTGAATTACCTTTGAAAAATTGAAGTCAAAAAAGACGGCATTTCCCAGCAGCAGGTCCTTTGTTCTGAGAACAGTCTTTTGTTACACAGACCAGCTCTTTTGTCCGAAACCGGGCACCCCGGCTCTGGGTGTAAACACACCATGCCCAAAACCGGGCTCCCTAACAGGAAGTGGTTAATAAGTCGTCCTTAATGACGACTGACAATTTATTAAGGACACACAGATGACCTAGTGAATTTCTTAATTCACTTAATTCCACTGGATTTGTGCTTATTATGACAAGGATTGGCACGATTTAAAAAAAAAAAATTCACATGCAAAAAGTTCTTATAACGTAAGACTGAACACTTTCATACACAAAACAAATTTTGTACCTGCACGAAAAGTGGGCTCACACATCATACTCATCATGCTCATAGCCCGGCCCAACGAGTAATATGTCTTGTCTCAAAATATGCATATTCCTACGAATTTTTCACAAATGTTTATTTCCTGGCTGTGGCACAATTTTAAGCAGACTTCACATATGTAACTTTCACCAAACCACAATATTGCAAGGTGCTAGCCATACACAGCGTGTAGCAATTGCCTAGAGGGGTAGTTCTAATTACTCAATTGCAACACCCCTAGTCTTTCTTCCAGTCGTTTTTCATATTCTCTATGCTTTGTGCTTGTACCCCCTAATTTCTCGATAACATCCAACTGCGCAAGAGCTCTCCACATGCATCGATTTTGCACATGATGGGCGTCACACTGTGGTTCGTCCGTTGTTATCGTTTGGGCTGGTCTGTTTACAGCGTTTTCTAAAAGTCCCATAATTGTAGTTGCGACATTCGATAATTCAGAACTTGGAACACATGGGACGGAGGATTCGGCCCTCGTGAGGTATCCCAATCGTAGTGACAAGTCAATAAATACGCACAACAGATCAAAGGCGCCCACTGGCTGAATTGGATTGTTGTGTGATGATATAGCAGCATGTTTGCGCTTACAAGCAGCTTATCTGTTAAGGTTTTGTTCTCACTATTGAGTGGATACCTCTTTTTCCAGTATCAATCAAAGGCAACAATTGTTGCGATAAAGGTTAGTTGTTCGTTTTTTGTTTGGTTTTGGATAACCGGTTTTGAAATTCGGAATCGGATAGCAGAATTAAAACTAGATAATCGAAAATCCCACCACTACTAGAACGTATTCTGAGGAGACCCCAACTGTTGACACACCTACCTCAAATTCTTCGAGCCTACCCTGTCTGTGATTGACAGCATCTCTCTCTCTCAGCTGAGCTTCCAACTCGCGAACTCTCTCCCAAGCCCCTCTGTCTCTCCTGTGGGCCAGCTGAGGGCAGTAGCACATCAGTACGCACACAACAGCCAGGGATAAGTAGACAGTCAGCAAGGCGGGCAGCCAGGCGGCGTAGGGCAGATCCTGAAGGAGCTCGCGGTGGAAGCTGGACACCTGCTTGCCTAAGGTCTTCAGCGGCTCCATGAACATAGTTGAAAGGGTGTGTACAATTGCCTGTTGATAAGAAGTTCAAAACTGCATTTCTTGCTGGTTTACGGTTGATCGCCCTATGGAGAACACCAGATGCTGATGGTCACTGGATGCTGGAGACTATTAGGGTAGTGCATAGGCAGGCCACTGCCCAAATCATGAAATGTTAGGTCAGTAACCATGTCAAATTTCAATCAATCCGGTTTGTATGACGTCACTTCAGTTTAAACCACGCCCACTGCACATGTGCACGGCACATAGAGTTACATGCATTGATCGCTGTTTACAGGGAACCGGAAGTTAACGCGCAACTTCAGCGATTGTCCAATGAGAGCCTGCAAATCGTGGCGCATCCACCTTTGTGATGAAGTCACTTACAAACCGGATAGTGCCAGAAGCTAGTGCTTTAGATGCAATTCTGGACCACACGAGAGATGATCAAAGGTTAAGTTTCAGTGGCAAGACCGACTATAAACTGGCCTATGTGCAGTTGATTCTCAAATACGGCCAGTTAAATTTTGTCCGTAGACCCTACTCATCTCTTGCATTTGTAGCCCCATGCACTTTACCGACATATCCCCTTCCCGTATCCAATTTCCCTGTGTGGCACGTTATACCTACCCGTGTTGGTGGCACCTCGTAAATGGGATCCACCAGCACATTCTCGTGGTAAACATCGCAAGGGTCTTTCTTAAAGGTCAGCTGCTTCCGCAAGGCCTCCTTAATGGAGTCCAACCAGGTCATCTTGTCTGGCATACACTCAGGTGGCATGTCTTGTCCCTTGTGCATTGTGGATATCCTAACTGCCAACTCTTTCTGTATTAAAGGGGGAAAAGGATGTCACTTGGAATAACGAACTTAAACACTGGCTTGCTGGATAGTGTCCCAAACATATTTGGACTGCATTCAAGATTTAAACCTACAGCTAAAAATCAATCAAGGATCAATAGTCAACTAGAGGGAGGTTTAACCTGGCATTACTTGTGTATGCACGCTAGAGCAAGATCAAGTGTAACTTGTACTCGTAGTTCGACCCTCGGTCAACTGCTCCTTTCCAAAGCGCGAGTATGATACAGTCCCACTCAATGGATCTTATCTCAACCATTTTTTGCAAAATCCCATCGTCACTCAGTGTGAGTCAATTGAGGGGCATTTACCAAACTATGGATAACTTGTTGCTTGAACTTGCCGCAGGTGCCTCAGTACAAACATCTCACCTTGAACTACAGTTAAGTGTCATGGCCCCAGCTCTTTGCTGTGACTAGAAGCGCAAGCTTGATAGAAGACAAAGGTGCAAAGGCTACTCCCTCACCAAAATCTCAAGGTCGGCTAGGGCCTTACCTTGTAGAGGTAGACCCAGTTCCAGCACACGCTGATGAAGAACATGACCATCATGACTGCACAGAGCTGCTTCCACCAGGAAGCCTGCGTATTGGACTCATATATGATTACCACCACACCGAGGATTAACAGTAGTGCATACTTTGAAAAGAAAAACAATATCAACATTTGATGAGCCAATATGATCGTTGAATAAAGTATATCCCTTGCTATGGACACTGTCCATTGCTTGCAAGAACAAGATAATATCATCACGGCATGTTTTCACATTGAAATGACATCCCTATGGAGGGGACACACTGGGTAGGCCCTTACTGTGTTATGGGGAGGTTTTCCATCAGTAGGGAAGTTGGGACCAAATTGTGGGGAGTACTGTCTGTCCCCACAACATTTTCAGTGCAAACAAAATCAGTGTATATGTGATGAAGAGTGCCCCACAACCACTGAACAAGTACAAGTACATGCGCTTGTACATAGCGCCTTGTGGGGTACCGGAACAATGGAAAGTACCCCACAAGGCCAGTTTGGATCCTTGTGGGGTACTTAAGTGGTACCCCACAAGAATTTCACGAAATAGACATTTCAAATTTACTCAAAAGGGAGGAATTTTCATGTGCCATTCATCCGTCGCAAATTGAAGTGTTTTATATAAGGGACATACGGTCAAAATTTCAACCCAGGAAACTGAATTTGGTTGAAATGGCAGTGATTTGGAATTTTTTCCGTGTTGTGTGAAAGTTTTGAACACGAGTACAAAGGAAACACCCCACAAGTATACATATGTAAGGGTGGGCGAGTGTGCATATGTGCGCTGACTGGTGCCGGCCGCACCAAATACATGTGGCCAATTTCGGTTGGCAGGTGCGCACATGTACTTAGTCTTTACATGCACTCTAGGTTCCTGTTGAAAATAGTCGCCACCAGCCTCTCTTTGTCTTTGCCAGTGAGGGTGGTACTTCTATGCAGTCACTTCATACTGTGATTTAGGGCACCAGACTTTAAGCAACACCGGTGCTATTGACTGTATTTTCCATATGCAAGTTTTCCCACAATATCGAGCTATGGCAGTCGAATATTTGAGAAACACAGGATGGACTATCTGGTTACTCTGACTAGCTCTCTAAATTACAATCCTTGAAACATGAGCATGAGGACAATTTGAGGGAATGCCATCCCTGAGATCAACATGCAAACTGTCATTCCAAAGTAGGTCCCCATGAGATACGAGACCCTTTTTTGCCTGGGGGTGGAGGGGGATATCTGCGTTTTCTGTTATAATAATCTTACAAATGTGATGTCCCTTGGGTCCATTTCTGTCATTCTTTCCAGCAGGCCGGGTTTTTCCGTGACGTTGTCATGGCGGACGCTCATAAGCATATCCACCATGAAGTCGTGGGCGTCCACCAGTTTGACCTTCCCTTTCTGCTGGACAAACTGACGCAGCTTGTTCCAGCGGTAGCTGCTCAGCTCTACTCGGACCTCAGCCACCAGCGGGGAATCCTCACCAACATCAGCCTGAAAAGATAAAAATGGGAAGAAAGTCCAATGGGGAATGTCTGGAAAGTCAGAAAGCTCCTGTTCCAATTGGAATGCTCCTTTATGGAACCCTGTGTGTCCCCAGTTGGAACTCATTCTCATCCCATTAATAATTACATGTAATTTATTTATTTATATAGTGCAAATTTCATGCAATTTTGCTTGAATGAGCTGTGCAATAGAAAAATTCAACTACAACATGTATGGTTGAATTGAAGGCCTATCCGCCTGAAGCAGAAGCACTCCCTATACGGTTTAAAAGAGCCGCATTGGTTGGGAGTGTTCAATTTGTTGATAGCGATGCGACTTCAATGCGTGCATTTCCTAGTCGAAAACCAGCAAAGTTCAGTTTAGACCACAGGAGCCTGCGTTGCTAAGAAAACAGCGCCCTCTCTTGGTCCAGCTCTAGGCCCCTAAGGCCACCTTAGGCAGCTGCCGAATGACGCATACCTACCCACGGACCACAGCTAGGCATCTTTAGTGTTGATTTTTGTGGAGGGAGGCAAAACAGGGAACCCTCAGAAAAATTCTTGTGGCGCAGCGGAGAACTATTGAACAACTCTATTCACATATGGCCCAGGCTGGGAATCAAACCCAGGACCGCCGTGAAGAGAGGTGACTGCTTTACACACAAGCAATCCTTGCTACCACGACCATTAGAAATAGTCTTTGCTGTTGGCACGCACACACCTACATGTGGGCCACTGTTCCCACCATTAGTTACCAATTATTTGCCATTCTATCGGTTAGTCAAAGCACTGTTTGTGGCAATTTGTGACAAAATGCAGTGTCACAGCTTTGAATTCACTTTGACTTCCAATTACGATCAATATGCATGCCACGTGCACACAAAGATGTGCTGATTTGGGGGGGGGGGTGTCAGTCCAAGGATGGCAACCCGGGGAAATATGAGAAACTGACCTCGGAAATCAGCAGGTTGATGAAATGTTTGGCAAACCGGCGGAAGAACATCTGCTCCAGCTTACAGGGGGATTCCATGGAGTCCTCTGAATTGACGGGTTTGTCGTAGACCACTTTACAGTCTGCTAAATTGTCATGACAGGTTTGTAGTTCCTTCTTACAGCTTTTGACCTTCTGCGAACGGGACGAGATGAGAGAAACGCACTGACAGAGGTATCTGACTGACGAGAGTTTTCATATTAAGGAAAATGGGTATGACCGCGCAATTTCTGTGAAGTATACATGTGTCAATTCACAATGCTGTCTTTTGTTATCTCATACAGGACTTCAGCATGGTTTCTGTGCATTCCCTTCTGAAGGACATAAGTTTTTTATTTTTGCACTCCAATGTGGCGCAACGTATTGAAGCAAACTTCACACAACGATTCCTAAATACAATGTAGTTCATTGAACTATATCTAATCACCAATGACTGGAGTGCATGTGAGTAAATCTGACTTCGGTTCATTAAGTTCATTTGACCAACTTTTTACCAAACTGTCCTTAACCCTAACCGCCAAGCATACTGTTTGGCTTACACTACACAATACTACAAAATACTAAGTAATAGTCTGAGCCTGAAGGACCTAGCGCTACAGATTACTACTTCTGGCTAGGTTACTTCCCTT